TTTACAGGTCCCATCAGTCAACCGTGACCATGGGACCTGTAAAGGGCCCGAAACGTCGGTTTGTTTGAAAAAACAAATATACGCGATTTAAATCCGGAAAAATAGTTTCATTTCCTATGTGTAACAATCGCGAAAACCTAAGAACTCGATAACCATATTTATTAACTAATATTATGCTCCCGAATTTTATGAAAAAAATAAAGAAAGAAAATTCGAAAAATATCAAAAATCTAATTTAGTGGAAAAAAATTACAGAAACAAAATAAAACCAGAACAGTTCCAAAAATTAAGTTGGCGTAGTGTGTTGATTGGAGGTATCGATCTGTAAGCTAACTCTTCGAGAAACACGATAGTTCTACTGTATGTAGTGGAGAGTTGAGAGGTTTGCAGACTGTCCTGGTTTCAGCTTTAGATCAAGGTTACCATATTATTGTAATGGCATTGGATTTCCCTAGTGTAAAAAATTTCAAATCGGTCGGACAAGTAGAAATAAAATAAATATTTAGTTTATGGCTGAGATCATTATACTAACTGGAAACATAGCCGATGATCTTTAAACAGCTGAACAGAAGTTCATCAAACATAGCTTAGAATTATCCCGATTGAATTGGAAAATTCAAATTAAAACAGTCGCTTTGAGATCAGTTTGTGACGATGCGAGCTCCTCCATCATAATCCCGCCTTTTTATTATCTTTGCTCAGGTTCCTGGCCACTTATTTTCAAATTTTGAATCGTTCTTTAATTCCTTTGCCTCGTCATTTTCACTTGTTGTCACTGTCTACTTGCCATATGTGACATTATTTTACCATATATGATTGCTAATTACGCTTCAACATATCTAACTGAAGGATTTACTGGTTTCCGATTTCAATCATGTAACCTATGTAATTAATATCTTTAAAATCAACTTAACTAATAATATTATTTGTAATAAATACTTTTCATTCGGGCCTTTCTTCCTTTCTTCCTTTCTTTTATACAATAAATTCATGTGAACCGAGTGATCTAATTATAACTCGCAAAAATTCCTCCATTTGGGAGCTACACTGCCACAAACAGACACACAAATACATAGACAAAGGCTTTAAATATCTAACTCCCGTCTATTTGAGTCAGATGTTAAAAATGAAGCCTTTTAGAGTTACGTCGCTTTATAATGGAGATGCGAATTGTGTAAAAACAAACTTGCCAGTATACATATGCATAAGCCAACAATAAACATACGTACATAGAGTCAGGAACTAATGACACAAATAACAATTTACACTAAAGATTTGTCATTTATCATAATAGAGGTATCATCGTGATAAATGGTACACTTCATAAACAATAAAACTAATAAGGTCTCATTAGGCAAGTAATTCACAATAACTGAAGCACATGCTTTTTAACGAGATCTTATCACTACGTGTTTTGCACACTACGCGTGATGTGAAGTGACGCGGCAAATGTTTTAAATCTGTACACGTGTTTGACATATACATATAATCTCTCGAGATAGTCTATCATGACGAGTTAATAGTGCATATTTTATGTACTCACTACTAGACATGATGGCCGCGCCGCCATCGCCATTGCCTACGAATTAGACCAGGCGTAAAATCGGCGTTTTGAAAATTTGTTTTATTTAAATGAAGTATAAAAATTCATTGTTAATTATTAACTATTTATACCTCTTCTTCTTCTTCTTCTTCCTGTCCTTATCCCACGCTAGGTGGAATCGGCACAACACGTATTTTATATTAACTATTTATATCGATACCATTAAAACGTTTTACATCCTATTCATGCCAGGTTTTTTTTATGCACGCACTCATAGCCCCGCAATTGGGAACCCTGTATCGCAGGTGCCATGGACACACACATAAAACACCAAAAATTACCCAAATAAAAGAATTTTTTACGGTTCATTCACTATGTAAAAAATTCACAAATGTTCTGTTTCTGCTTTGGCAGTATTGGTTTCTGTATAATTTAGCAGCATGTTTGTAGAAAATAGTAGAGTAATATTATACCCCTGTAAGTTTGTGGCTGTCATTGCTTATTAAAATAGCTACATAGTGGTATTTACATGATCTTGCAAAACTACACTTGGTTTCTTGGTTCTTTATCATTATTTTGTAGAATTTTAGTTGAAATATAGCTTTGGTTTGAAATATAATTTTCCCTTTTTAATCGACCTCAAAAAAAGGAGGAGGTTCTCAATTCGACTGTATTTTTTTGTATATAGATATGTTACGCGATAACTCCGCATTTGTAAACCGATTTTGATGTTTCTTTTTTTGTTGAAAAGAGGGTACCTCAGTAGTGCTCCTATTTAAATTTGAAGATAATATTCCACCTCTAGGGATGGCTAATTAGGGGATGAATTCGGTTTCGCTCACTTTCCGGTAATCGACTTCATTAAAACTTGGCTAATAGATGTTACTTCACGAACTTTTGAGGGCATTTTTAGTAGGTACATTTACACACTTATGTAGTGGTACAGATTTGAATTTAAAGTATCTTATCACACCGTCAAGTGGACGTAGTAATGTAAAGCCAAATTGTAAATAATTTCCCGTAAAATAATTTCCTATAATTATGATTTCTTCGTAACACCTATTCAGAACGCCATTTTCTCATCGATTTATTATGTCATTGGCTATCATGAAAATCTCTAGATGAACTGCGGACCTGTTGTTGAAAATACATCATTACGTGGAAGTCACAGGGGAAACAAATTATATAATAGATTTTAAATGGATAATTACTAATTTGTTTTAACTGTAACGAGACTAAATAGAAAAACCAAGCGTCAACATATTGAAATCACATCTGAACTAGAATACATAGCGAACAGTGATAAAGTTCTGTATCTTGCTTGTCAGGTTTTACACGGTTTTCTTTAGCAAGTAAATTTCCCATGATTTACATTATCCCTTAAGAAACATTGTTTATTATAATATTAAGTTTATTAAATATCACGTAAATATTAATTCGTCAGTTGAGTTTTAAGATTACTTACTCCAGATTGTGCTAACCGTGTTTTATTTTGAAATTAGAAAATGTACTCAATATAATGAATACTGGTAAACTATATGAATAAGTAAATAGACCGTAAACTAACCTTACTATACACAAGCAGATTTTTAGTACTTTAACTGCTTTTTATACTGCAAATGTCTCTATCATTTTTTTAACCAGAAGCAATTTCGTTCCAGTGACGGAGCCCACGAGGCCATGCTTACTGAAGGCAAGAAAACGACGATTATTAAAGAGAACAAGGACTCCAGAAAAGAAGAGGAATATGAAGCTCTGCAGAGCTTCTTACGCAGCATCAGCTCTACGGCCACACTACCGCCTTACGTCAAAGGAGAAAGTTATTCTTCAGTTCGTGGAGTATTAAATCAGGTTGGTAAATGCGTTTTATATATCATATCGCTACATACCAACACCTTAAGCCTCTTCCAAGGACTTTTGAGTGGTTTAATTGAAATTTCAAGGGCTTCCGCGACCTTGATTATCCATCGATCCTGCTACAAGAGGGCGTTGTCATTATTTTATGTACGAAACAGCGGCTCGAAACACTTTAAACGATCATTCTCCGTCAATGTTCACTACCAAATTTGCTTGGCAATTTTTATTATTTAAATATTTTTTATATATATATAAAATGTAAGTTCGCATTTGACCTCCATCTCACCTGATGGAAAGTGACGATGAGGTATTCAAGTATATTATCGTGTAATTGTTATATAAATAATAAAATGATACACTTGTGAAATAATATTTATGTTAGGAGACTCAACTGGTCAATGACAATTTTGTTAGTGACCAAGCAGTATGTTGCGTCTCCTATAGCTTAACCATCAGGCGCACGACTTGTTCATCTCGTCACTTGATATTATAAAAAAAACAATAAGACAAACCTGTATTATTAGGAAATTAAAACAAATTAATGAAAATATTGAGAGTCAATAAATTTTTTGTTTTCAAAATAGACCTGAAATAAAACAGTAAATGGCCGGTAGCCAGACTTTTCAAAAAGTACTGCATTATTGTGGGGTTTTTACTAGTGTTCCGCTAAATGTGACAGTGTATGTATTTAAACTAAAACAGTGTAAACATATTATTATTAACATACAGATCGAAAAAACACAAAAAAAGAGTTTCGTATCAATAATAATAACAAACTAGTGGAGCATTTTCTCCAAAAATTGATGAATATCATGATAGTAAAACATCATGGTATTCCAAAAAATAATTACGGCAATGTAAAAAGATATTTACAACGATGATTTTAATTATTATTACTATATATTTATTATTTATTTATTATTATTATTATATTATTATTATTATATTATTATTATATATTTAAATTATTGCAGGTATATATTGATGCAATACAAACACGTGCGTCTCTTAACCACGGCCATAAAAGATATTATACACTGTATAGTCTTTGAGTAACATACAATTATGTACCTAACCTGCATAATTTACCTATTGTGTGTAAACTAGTTAGTAAACAATGGCGTAGTAACGAAGGCGTTAAACTGCTTGTATTTATATTGTCTGCATTAACTAGATTAGACCAGTATTTATTGTTTTACAGTTCTAAAATAAACTGACATAATCAAAAGTCATAAAATGGTGCATGTATAATTTATTTATCTACGTAATAAAATTTGTGACGTGGCTCTATTTTAATTAGGTGGGTACCACACATGGGTGAGTGGGTCCACGGCAAAAGCTCCACATTTTTTTTGTTTTGAAGATCTATATCTATCTATATCAGGAACGCAATATTTGCAAATATTGCGTTCCTAACGTTTATATCACAATTTATTCATTACGAAAATAATATTCCATCAAAAACATTAAATGTAAAAAAAATTTAAACAACCCTTTCAGCGTAAGAAATTAATATGAGTTCTCGCATAGAGCCAAGCCTGATATTATTTAAACCTTGACCATCTGTTGAACAATCTACGCAATGACTATAAATTTTAATTTATAGAGAATATTTTCCGACCAGGCAATTACGCAGCGGAGAATTGCACGGAGCTTCTATAATATTTTTGGATAGACAATAACTTCGTGCGCCAGAAAACAAAAATTTCGGGGTTATAGTCTAATCCACGGAATATGGTCTGTGGTCTAATCCATTATGATATGGGGGATGGAAAAGTGCCCTGTGTCGCTACAAGAAAAATATGTATTTGGCCGTGCTTCTGTAAAAGTACCTACATATTTGTACGAATGTTTTCAGTATTTTATATGATCGGATAAAGTACATCTTATCGTGTAACATATTAGCACATTCTTTAGGGTCGAAACACAAAACTGCGATGCGACGTGACATCGCAGAAATCTACGAGCTGGCACGACGCATCGCAAGAAATTGCGAATTGCTCCGCATCGCGCATTCCTGCGATGTTAATCTTCTTTGAGTTTTTTTTCCTATACCTTCTTATCAATAACAGCAGTGCAACACTCTTTTTAACCGACTTCAAAAAAGGAGGAGGTTCTCAACTTGACCGTATGTTTTTTTTGTATGTATGTTACGCGATAAACTCCGGTATTTGTGAACCGATTTTCACGATTCTTTTTTTGTTGGAAAGAGGGTACCGCCATAGTGGTCCCATTTCATTTTGAAGAAAATCATCCACCTCTAAGGGTGGCTGATCACGCATAAACATTCATTTTTATAAATAGCGCCTAAATTTTACTTAAGGAGTAAATTATTTTAATGGTTGGTTTTGCTATTCTCCAATTCAAGGCGTTTTTCTCTCTCAATATACTTTGAGTAGTGAGGACCGATTTTTATTATCTCCTGTGTCAAGTCCTAAGTCCAAGTATAGTGGCGAACTAGGGGATATTTCAATGAAACTTGGCAAATAGATGTTATTCCACGTATTTTTGAGGTCTGTTTTTTTAGTACTCTGTACCGAGATTATTACGATCCATGTACCACGCTACTTAGTTTAAAAAATACGCACAGTACGGTTGCCAAGCGTCCAAGTAAGTAAAAAGAATGGTTACCCGAACCGTGTCAGGGAGATGCCTTGCCGCACGAAATCGCATCGCAGCAATGCGTGTCGCAGTTTTCTGCGTTACGAATTCGCGTTAGACAATATCCTTAGGTGTATATTTTTTGTAAGGCCGCTATTTTGTATATATCTGTATACATATATAATTAACACCTAAACCATTTCATCTAGCAAAACAGTTCTTCCCGCTTCTCCTCCAGTGACTCGCCATATGTAAAAGAAAGTTACAATCGACTATACTTTATAAAATTTAGCTTGATTGGAATAACAGTTCGACAAAATTAGGACTATGTAAATTTGTAGCAATGTTCTACAAGTATTACTTTTTTAAACGCGCCTAAACAGTAAATATTTTACATATTTACCACTCATTAACATACCATTGAAATCTACAATTTTTTGATAAATGACTTTTCGAATTTTAATTACACTGCGATCATTGACTACGATATTATTATTAATATTTGCACAACTTCACACTTTAGTTTGGCGGTAACTCACGTTGTACCGAATCAATGTCCAACTGCCAACAACAATGTGCAACTGCCTCCGTGGCCGAACGGTTACCATGACGGACTGCCGCGCAGAGGTCCCAGGTTCGATTCCCGGGCCGGGAGAAATATTTGTATCGCCTACAATTATTTCACTCGTGAGTTTGGGTGTAATTTGTGATTGTCTATGTGTGTGTCCATGGCACCCGCGACACAGGGTTTCCCTAGTGCGGGGCTATGTTGAGTGTGTGCGTTATTTAATTTATTTATTTAATGTGAATAATTTAAAACTTTATATTTAGGTTCACACCATTTGTCAAATAGAGAAATGTGAGCAACACACCGATGTAAATTAATTTTCAAAGAAAACCTCATCTGCGTCCGCCATCTTGAACGTTTGACAACCAACTAAATAATGTGTAGCGTCTTCACCACACGTCAGTGAAACACAACGTGGAATGCCGCATCTACGACGCTAACACACAGATATCGTAAAGATCGTAAAAATTCACTGGCTTTCCATCTAATTTCATAACGTAACTCTCGATAACTACAAGAAATTGATACTTAAGAATAAGGTCGCATGTTGTACATTAGCTATTTTTGATATTGAATACATTGATGAATTATTCATTATATGAACTGTATTGTCATTGTAATTTTATATAACAGATACCAACGGTAAAGTATGAAGCTACGAATTTTTGAGTTGAATGAAGATCATTCAGACAACTATTACGAAATTGCGAGTTGAATGAAGATCATTCAACATTATTCAGATTATATTTATTTATAGTTGTAATTTTGTAATAAATTATCTTGGATTATGTAACTGACAATATTTTGCGAAACAAGTCCGCAATGCGAATATTTACAAAGGTTGGAGGTAGCTGTCGCAATCAGTGCTGAGAAACTTCTGCCACTCGATCAAGTTGAGACTAACTCTTTAACTTTGCCTCTATATTTTTAATATGCCTCACCTTGTTATAATTATTTTGAACCACTAAACCGTCGAGCAATGATGTCAGGTCATATCATGGTCATTCCCAATAGTTAAAGACTATCACGTCTGTCCACGGTCAGTGATACTCTTTGACAAAACTTTTTTACTTATTGGTCTACCGCATTACGTAAATATCGTTGCCTACCACCATACAAACTTATACTCATTAAAAACAGTTTGTGTCACTGCAACGCTCATAAAATGATACGATAGCGGAACTGCTTTCTCATCACTCTGATGATAAGTGTACAAAGGATCTAAAGATGTTGATAGACGATAAATTGCCACCAAAGCCCTTGAGCAAGACCCAAAATCGATTTTGGATGATAACATTTTATCAATGTTCGTATATATTTACATTTCAACAGACTTGTACTCTGCATAGATTATTAGAACATGAAACTGGCGGAGTTTACCCTGCTTGATTAAAGAAGACATTTTCTTTTTAACACCGGCGGCAAAAACAGTGGAGTCATAAGTCTATCTCTCTTTTTGGGACGAACAAGTCGTGCACCTGATGATAAGCTACATCCCTCTCCATAACAGTTGCAGTGCCACTCAGAGTTTTAAATCGCAAAGATCTGAGGGGCACTGTCACTGCGCCTGACACCTGAGACATAAGTTAACAAGTCCCGTGTGTCTGTAATTTCACTAACACCCTTAAAACGCAGTAACGCGGAAACAGGCAAGGTGGCAGTACTTTACTGATGAACTCTTTCTCAAGAAGCTCTACTGCTACTAATGCAAACTGCTACTAACCTGAGAGCGGTTTTTATTCGAAGGCTAATTTGGTCGGGATCTTAGATCGGGATGGTTTTAGCTATGTTTGATGAACATTTGTGTTAAGTTGTTTAAAGATCATCAGCTCTTTTCCCACACTTGACACTTGTTTTTTGCACTGATGTATAAGGATCTCTGTCTTAAAATTAATATTTCTAGTCTGATCGACTTGAAATTCTGTATATTTTGGTAATACGATAACATTACAATAATGTAGTACACTTGATCTGACTCTGCAACCAGAAGTTGTCAAGTTGGGCACAACGCGGTCTGCGTTCTGTCCTACGCCTCAATATCTCGCAACCAAAACAATCGTGTTTGGGCTCATCACAGACATATGTTGTCTGTGGGGCTCATTGAATTGGTGTCCACATGTAGTTTTTTGTTTTTTAGCCCCGCACTAGAGACACCCTGCGTCTCTGGTGCCATGGACACACACATAGATAACCACAAAGCACACCCAAAGTCACGAGAGATATTAATGTAGGCCATACAAATATTTCTCTCGGCCTGGAAATCGAACCCGGTACCTCTGTGTGGCTGACCAGCATGGTAACCGTTCGGCCACAGAGGCAGTTAAGATTACTTGGCTTCAAGGTGGTGCCATTTTGGAGTACACTATTTTGTATCGAAGGTTTATTTAAAAGCTTTATTTAATTAGTTATACATTTCTTATTACTCTTTAAAGAGCACACCTACTTATTATTAAACATAATTTGAAATGCTGTACAAAAAAAGAGTTACCTATGTGTCTCTACATGTCACATAATTATCAGAGATGCATGTCAGAGATAAATAGGAACGTATTTTCTCAGCAAAGTAGACGATCCTTTTTAAAAGACTTGAGGTCAGTACCTTTTTTACATTACCCATTACTTGGCTCAACCAATGCGGATATTGTAGCGTTTGAACTCAATTACATTGATTGGCCTGATCAATTTAATTGACTTCATGTGGGATGATACACACTTAGTACGATACGTTGCTACACAACAATATCGTTAGTGGAATATTTACATTGACATCTGGATCATGACTAATTGAAACTTTACTTGCCCTTGCCAGATAGTTCTTACCTAAATGTAAATAAATACATTAATGATATGGTTCAGTAACAGAGGTTCTGTTTTAATGAAACGATAAAGGAAATTGAAATATATGTCCGATATTTATGTATTTGTTTACGTAATAGATATAACAACGTGCACAATATTTTTTTTATGTTACCTAGTGACGGAATAAATACGTCCTGGCGGTAAACGACACGCCTATTCATAACAGTTACAGTGCCACTTGAGTTTTAAGCCACAAAGCCCTGAGGTGCACTGCCACTGCGATCGTCACCCTGAGATATAAGTTGAAGAGTCCCATGTGACTGTAATTTCACCGCACACATACCCTTCAAAACCGTAACGCTGTAATGCTCACATAACTGCTTGACGGCAGAAATAAGTAATGTTGCAGTATTTATTTGGACGGACTCACAAGGAGCTCTTATTACCTGCTACCATCGAGTATTTCACCAGAAATAGAGATAAAATAAGGGCCATCCATCCCTGGCAACTCATCAGGCAAAAGGACATTATGTCACTTTTAAATATGGAATCTCGTTTGCCCTAAAATCACAAATTAGAAAAGCTCAAATAGTACAGCGCCAACAACTGACCTGTGTTTACGTCTCCGTATATTCCAAAAATATTCTGTATTTATTGTAATAAATATCTCTAACTATGAGGGGCTGTTTCATTCGGTGGTATGGGATAAACAGCAAAACATCTAATTATAGAACAAACGGAATCACATTTCATCGGTAATTAAATATCAAATATGTCATTTTTCAATATTCGTCCATTATAGCAAAGCTCAAGTTAAACTGGTCGTTTTGAAGTGAAGTCAATTGTTTCGAATTCGAGCTAGCCAATTGGAGCGCAGTTGTCACCGAAATGATTTGGCAGAATAGTTTTCAAAAAAATTAAATGACATTTCGTATCTATTTCTGGTTATATACGCGATGCCTGCTACTAAAGTTTTGATTTAATTTTTAACCGACTCCAAAAAAAAGGAGGAGGTTTTCAGTTCGACTGTATGTTTTTTTTATGTATGTTACGCGATAAACTCCGGTATTTGTGAACGGATTTTCATGATTCTTTTTTTGTTGGAAAGAGTGTACATCCATAGTGGTCCCATTTAATTTTGAAGAAAATGTTCCACCTCTAAGGCTGGCTGTTCACGCATGAAGATTAATTTTTATAAATGGTTGATTTTGCTATTCTCCAATTCAAGGCGTTTTTCTCTCTCAATATACTTTGAGTAGTTAGAAAGTTAGAACCGATCCGAACCGAAGTGGCGGCACGGCGGCGAAAAACAAAGCACAGGTCGGGAGTGGGGGCGCGGGCGCATACGCGAAATTGCTCAGTGCACGCGCTACCTTGATCTAACGAAGACACGTAAATTATTTGTACTTCCGTTTGCCCGATCGCCGCAAAATGGATATTTATTCTGACGTCGAACTGATTGAGATGGTGCGACTTTACGCAATAAGTGGTTGTGGAAGTGTTGCGTGGGAGGATTATCTCAGCATTTTATACTGTGAGACAAAATGTGTTTGTGTTGTACAATTTAAAACAAAATTTACTATGCCATGCTAGACTATGCATTGTGGAAAACGGTGGATGTTTTGAACATTTGCTCCGTACCACGTAAGTGTAAATAAACTGTAAATAACTAAAAAATCAGTCATTGTAAATAATTTGATTTCACATTTTTAACTACGCCAAAAACCTCGATTCGGAAGGACTGTACATTACCATCGCACAATTTGAGGGGCGGGGGGGGGGGGGGGGGGGGAGGGGGGGGGACCTTTCGTGCAAAGTTTCAAAGTTAAGAAGTTAATAGTTTTCGAGATATTAATTTTTGAAAATTCGAAAAAAATAACCTCAAAAAATCATGTTTTCGTTCATGTTGCTGTGCTTTCCTAACCTACAAAACCTGTTTCCTATCACTTATTTTCGAATATTTCAATAATTTTTATTATCAAAACTACGAGTTTCCTAAAGCTAATATTTTAGGATTAGACTGCTAACTATGTAATCTATTCACCATATTAATTTCAACTCTCAACTCGTGCGATGGTAATGTAGAGTTGAGCCCTCAATTCTTATTAAATGATAACTTGTTACTAAATCATAAACTTATCTTTTTTAGTACGTAAAACATTTCGATGATAGTTCAAGTAAAAAATAATTAACATAAGCTAAAACGTAAGTGTGAAATCATTGTTATTGTTGCTGTCTCACTCGGCGCTCGCTTGGTAGTATTCCCATTGCACTCGAAATCAAGCGTAAAGGGAATCGGTTTATTCCTATGTACACTTCAAAACACATTTGTTGATTTATTTTTTGTTCTATACCATATCCTAATTTTATTTCAGTCGTTAAGTTGTAACATGATTTACTATGACATGTATGAATACGTCTCTTTTTCAAATATACAGCCTGTATACAGTAATATAAATATTTGACCGTGTCACGAAGCCAGTGCACGACCGAAGCACGGCCCGGCCCCGGCCCCGGCACCGTGTAACATGAATCAACCTTTACACAAGGTATAAAGTGGAATACCGAAAATATGTTGCCGTAAACAATTTAAAATAAGCCGTGGTAGCGTAATGGTTTCATCTACTGCCTCTCAAGCAGAGGCCGTGGATTCGAGTCCGAACTCGCACCTCTGAGTTTCTCGGAATATACTCGTACGTGCGAGATTTCATTTAAAGTTTACCTTGAACTTTTGAGTTAAGGAAAACATCGTGATGACTTCACTTCGAGGAAAGTTTACAACCCTCGGAAAACGTGTAAAGTTCCCAAATGGGTTGATGGTGGAAACTATTTGCCTAATATCGTTCACTAGAACTCAAGACAGAGACGATATTAACTGACAATTCATTTTAAACATCTATTTCTGTTTTCAGCGTATCACAGATAAGTTTATGACGATAATGTAGCATAATCGAATCCGTTTTAACTATCATATTGTTCTAGTGCCTGATCACGTGTGCGGTGCTGATCCTGGCGGCGGGTGCTGGTCACCCCATCGGCTTTTCCGCCGTGGCGCTGCCACAGCTCCGCACTGAAAACTCCTCCATGAGGATTGACGATGAAATGGGATCCTGGATAGGTAAGTAAACGACACTTTGCTACAAAGCCCCTGCTGTTATAAGCTTATATCATTTTTCTGGTGTAACGGGTTTCAGCAAGAATGAAACGACATGAAATTAAATACCAGGTGGTCGATCGACTACGTGCTTATTGTACGTAGGTGAAGTTATCATAAATTAAACATTATTCTTATGCTAAAGTTCTTTATTCTCACGAGTATATTAAAAAATAAATCATATTCTTCGTGAAGGTGAACGTTCCTCCTGTTCTTTTTAACCCCTTTCAAAATTTTATGTTTTTTTTTAAATATAATCCGTTTTCTCGTGTTTATAATTTACAAAAATTTGTCTTCAAAAATGCTATATGCAATTATCCAATATTTTAACTTTTTTAGCAACGAGGAAGGTGGCTATAATATTGGCATTATTGCATCGTAAACTATTGCTTTATAACAGACACATTTAACTTATTGAACGCTGGGGTCACGGCTCACGTGATTTGCTAACTCTGCGACAATGTTGTCTTGCGTAACACCGCGGAGGGAAAAAAATGGTTTCAAATTTAATTAACAAAAAGCACAACGTGATGCGCCATCATAGTAGATATTTTTTATATACAACTTCTTTGGTATCCTCTGCTGACCAATTCCGAATTGCGTTAGTGTTCAAAATGCATATCATGCCATTATCACTTTTTGATAGTCATTTGAATTAATAAGAAATTTAAATATTCTGTATTCTTAGGGTATTACCACACTTACCGACATGGAACCGCATTAAGTCGGTCAGCAAAAGGTCCATATCTATAAGAGCTGAAAAGAAACAAATCGGCAACGAATCTCCGTCGACGCCCGAACGGCATCGTCAATAGCCGAATGACCGCGTCGACGGCTACATTTCATATCCCCCGATCCGTGACAAGGGCTAAATAGCGTCGTCGCCCGAACGACTGCGACATATCGCTCATTTAGTGCAACATTGACTTAATTGCAATTTTGGCATAATTGAATTAAGACTTAATTAATTACATATTAACATCCTTTATCCAAATTTGCCAAAATTACAATTACATCAATGTAGCACCAAATAAGCGATATGTGGTAAAATGTGATCACTTCGACCTGGTTAAGTATCACTGGTGACTCCCTTATGTGCGTTTAATTTTAGTACTATCTTACAATTAATCGTAGGAAGAAAAGCTTAGAAACAAAATTTGACCCTATCTAAGTAATTCTAGTAGAGCAAGAGAGCAAGTCAAACAGGGCAGCTATCGTCACCACTACAGAGTGGTCCGCACTCGACACAGCAGGAATTTTATGCGAAGCAGCGCATTTTATGCGAATTGGGGCGTAAAAATAATAATGGTGTCAAATTAATAACGTATCATAAATATCAACCAGTTTGTCAGATGATATTTTGCCGCAATCTATCAATGGTAAAGGGTAGATATTGGAAGAAAGTAAGGCGATGGAGAAGGCATGCAGAAGATGTTGGAAAGCAAACATTACTCAACAACAATACTCAATTTAAAAATTAATTACGAGGGAAATCGTTGTGAATAATATTATGTAGATCCCTCACCACTGATTTCTGTTCAGTTTTTATGGGAAAGTTATCACGAAACTGTGGATGTATGTAAGGGCAAGTAATCAGGTAGATATCTTTTTTTAGAAACAGAAACCAATATCGAAGTGTCAAACTTGAATTGCTTTGGAATGTATACCTACGTACCTACTTAATTTTTTTGTGAGAGCGTACAAAATCAATTTCAATTGTTCCTGCCGTTTCGAATTTTCTAAGCGACGTATGATGACTGTGGAATGCTATACGAATTAAATTAGATATAGTGATAACTTGACACATAACTGTACTAAATACAAACCCACAATGCTGAAGCCGCAAAATAACCTACTTATGACCATATTAATGTGATTAAATGATGAACAAATGCATTTATTTTTAAACGAAATATTTTAAAAACAATAACAAGTACACGTCATTTTTTAAAAAGTAAGTCACTGTGTAAATTTGTAATTGTTTATTTTGACTAAGTATTTATGATCATTGGCTGAGACGTTCAGTTTCACGTCAAGTGGCACTTCATGATACAATTTTACACACACAGTATTACAATATATGGTTTGTAAAACTGCGATTTTGCTATTAAAAAAGAGACGAACTACTTTTAGAACGGTCAACGTGAACTGCATGAAAAGTGCCATTTTTTGTGAGGTCATTGTACGAATTTGACAGGCAATTCAACTTACAAGTTTCATCAAGATTAGTAAAAGAGCTCAAAGTAGGCCCCCGGGGCTTTTGATAATGTAACAGCAGTCACGAGAAAATAATTTTATAGTATTCGTTTTATTTGTTCTTGCAATAATACAAACTAGTGATTTCCCAACCTAGATCAAGAAATTAGTTCGGCATTGTTGTAGATACAACATCAGCAATTTAATTTGTTTTTTTTTTTATTCAAATGTAAGTGTGCATTTGACCTCCATCTCACCTGGTGGAAAGTGACGATGAGGTCGACGATGGAGCATGCACACCTAAATAATGCCTGTTCACTTTCGCCTTGAAAAGGTCCAAGTTATAACGTTCAGGGAACAAGTCTGCAGGCAGGGAATTCCACTTCATAGCCGTTCGCCAGTTGGTATGTAGTAGAGCCATCCCAAAGGTGGCAGCAGTACTCCATACACGACCGGACTTGTGCTTGATACAGCTGAAGCAACTGTCCCGGTGTGAAATAACGCCTCACCTTGAAAAGGGTGCCAAGCTTGCTGACTGCTTTTTTGGCCATGGATTCAATGTATCTGCCGAAGTTCAGATTGGACGACATGTCCATTCCAAGTAGCTGGAGACAGTCGGCTATCGGTATGGATATATCACGAAAAAAGGAGTCAGCTCAAAGCGACTCCGTTTTGTGGAGAATAGACACGCCTTTTTTTTTCTTTTTTTTTTGACGGGGGAAATCTTTATGTATACCCCTGAGCCCAGGGAGACTCAGGGGTTATGTGGGGACTCTCCCTCCACACTGGAAGGCCTACCCCACTAAAACCCCCCAGGGTTTCCCTCTCGCCGGTTGAGTCGGCGCCGTGGGATCAGTGAACATTCACCACGACGCCGCCCGGCCGCCCTAGCTTGCGCCAGGGCTCCCGCGCCAACGGAGGGACGAGTCGGTTGTCCTCCGACCCGCCCCCCAGACGAGTGAGGCCGTGCAATGCAGGCTCCGGAGTCCCTGTCCAGAGCCCGCTGGTCTCACTAGAATAGACACGCCTGCGTTTTGGTAGCGTTAAATTTGACAAGATTGGCATCGCCCCAATCGGAGACTGCCTTGAATGTCAAATCCAAATGGCTAACAATAGACTCTCAACAAGATTGGATTTCCTCTCCACTGACCTTTGCATTGGTCAAGTACCTATCTACTATTGTGCTGTCATCAGCATACGCATAGATACCTGGAATTAACATATCATTGATATGCAGCAGAGAGAGTGTTGCAGATAGTACGGAACCTTGAGGAACCCTAGGAAGGAGGAATCTATCGCCCAATGTCCGGAAGAGTAGCCTTCTAAGACCACTCGAATGGAACGTTCACTAAAGAAATCCGAGATCCAATTGCAAAGGTCAGTGGGAGGCCACATGGAAACTTTCTTAAAAGGCTTGCGTGTCACGCCCTGTCAAAGGCTTTAGAAATGTCCAAAGACACAGCAAGTGCTTCGCCTTCCTTTTTTATAACCTCGCTTCATATGTGACAGGCATACACAAGAAGGTCCCCAGTAGATCGCCCTCGTCGGAATCCGTACTGGCGATCACTGAGGAGGTCGTTGTCTTCAAGCTACGACAGGAGACGATTGTTGAGTACACGTTCCATAGTCTTGCAGTATATGGAAGTGACTGAGATAGGCCTATAATTGACAGGGTCAGCTCCGCTTCCTTTTCTGGGCACAGATACCACGTTTGCAAGCTTCCACGTTATGGGAACTACACCAGTCTCAAGTGAGAAGCGATACAGGCGTGTGAGAACAATAGACAACTCAAGCGCACAGTTACGTAGGACTACCACTGGAATTCCATCTGGCCCGCTAGCTATATTCACGTCAAGATTCCGCAAAGTTCTAAGTACATCTTTTTGGCGTATGCGAACTAGCGCCATAGTGCAGCCAGCCTGAGGTAAGGTAGGTGGTAGGTCCCCTGCGGCATCCAGACGTGAACTCTCTGCAAAGAGTGAGGCAAAGAGATTCGCCTTCTCTTCTGCAGTATGAGCCAGCGTGCCATCTAGCCTCAGCAGAGGTGGCAAAGATAGGTGACAAAAGTTACTTTGGACCGCTTTGGCCAGGATCCAAAAGGATTTGCTACCTGCTGGATAAGAGGCAAACGCCTCGTAGCATTGGCCCCTATGCGGTGCACACGGTCGAACTAGGCCCTATAACACGTTTTTGCACTTCTTAGCGGCTATATTAAAAGCCTTCTTCAGATTCCGAGTACACGGAGTTTTGCGCAGTAGAGCACCTGCCCATGCTTCGACGACTGCAGTGAGCGTTAGACCATAGACGAGCTTGGGGTCCATTGGGTACATGGAACTATGGTATGTAATACTCTATACCCAAATGCAAGATCTCGACTACAACATCAGCACAGCTCGACCAGTCTCCTGAAGTAAAGCAAACCTGCCAAGAATCTGACGCAAAGAAATGGTTCATCCCAATCTGCTAACCTGTATCGACACACACGTCTTATGAGACGTGTGTGTCGATACAGGATATCACTATATCAGGATACCACTGAGGCCCTGATCGGGTGGGGAGTATACGGATACAGTTTTCACCAGACAATGGTCGGATGTACCCATTGGGGCATCCACAACCACAGGGTATCGGTCCGGATTGTATATTGTATATTGAATATTATGGCAAAGTGTGATCTACTCATTTTCTGACTTAGGCATGAATGTATCCGTTCAGCCAAAATGTTATCTGGTTAGAATGGGATTCTGTTGAAATAACCTGTAATTTGT